AAAAGGCTAAAGGGAGAAGGCAGGAGAATGGGGTTGAAAAATATACCAGCCATGATTGAATGGCAGAGAAGACGTGATGGTTTGAATAGTTGAATTCTGTTCCTATATCTTATGGTCTTATGGACTTTCTCTTTCTGCAACACTATAATTTCCAACTTAACCAATACTGCCATCCCTCCTCTTTTATTTCCTTTTCTATCTTTCTTGACACATTGTACCCAGGAATATTTAATATTCAGTCCTACCCTTGCTTGAGCTAAGCTTCTATTACAGTTACAACATAATAACTCCACATGGCAACCTGCATCTGTAACTCACCAGTCTTCTTGACTATTCTTGTATGCTATATAACCCTGATTTTGACTCTATTCTTGTATGCTATATAACCCTAATTTAGACTCTTTTGTCCTTTTCTACAATTCCACTGATTAACTTACTATTGCCCATTCTATTGCTATTTGTCTTTCACAGATTTTAGTGCTGATAGTGCTCCCTAAAACACTCTCCTGGTTTCACCACCATTGTCAAACAAGTTTAGAACCCCCCTAACAGCACTAGCAAAACTCCCTGCAAGGAATTCAGTCCTAGCTCTGTTCAGGTACAATACATCCAATTTGAACAAGTTCCATCTCATACCCAGGATCCCAGGAATCTAAATCACTCACTGTGCACCATTTTGTCAGCCACATATTGTTATCGACCAGACCAGACGCCCTCAAAATATTTTAAGAAAATAGCCCAGACCCTAACTTTTCTTATTTTAAAGATAGATGTGAAGTGCCATGTTCCAGATGCGATGCAACTGATAGAACTACCTGGCGTTAAGCAAAACCCAATTTAGTTAAACAGTATAGTTAAAATACAAACAAAAGAAATAGGAATTTAGAATAACTTAACTGCTGGAAAACTTAACCGAATAATACATACAGTACCTATTATTAGTTAACCGTTCCAATATAGTAACATCCCATAAACACACCCCTTGGCAAAAAGGCAAATTAAGACATATATTCTTATATGCAGTTTTCCAATCCAGGAGGAAGAAACACCAAAAGAAAATTCAGAGAGTGTAGCAGTCAAGACACAAGCTTCCAACTCTGTTTAAACCCCAAACAGCTTCTGAAACTAAAGCTAAAAAAATCTAGAAAACCTGGTCTGTGAGAGCTGGCTACACCCACGTTGCTTCCATTGTTGTTGATTTGTTCGCTGAGCTGACTGGCTTTCGTGCAAACGTTCTGTCCCCCTTCTAGGTGATATCTTTGGTCCTGTCCAGTCTCCGTTGAAGAGCTGTTTTGTTCGTTCTGAATTTATATGGTCCAGTCTATTATGGTGGGTAGTTCTGTTTCAGTTTTGCTCCATAGCGGTATGTAGACGGGAACTATTTCAACATGTTTGTTTATGGTACCAGTGGTTGAAAACCAGGTTTCCAGGAATTCTCGTGCTTGGCTTTGTTTTGCTTGTCCTAGTACGGTTACATGTCCCAGAACCAACCAACAATTGCAGCCACAACCCGAGCTACAGATCTTTGCTAAAACACTGTTTCCATTGTTCCAACTTTTAAAGAAAACACCCACGGCCTCACAAGTTGTTTATTTAAGTTGTCTTCAGTAGCCAGTTTTGTACAACTTCTCTTCAAATAAAAGGACAAAATACCCTTTTAAAGTGACAGCATCATCACAATATTCATCTGTCAAAACTTCCTACTTCTATGTTTACTTTCATGCAGCACTGGGAGCAAGCCAGAGAGCTCTATTTTTTAGGCCCATCTTGCTATATTTTCACCAAGCCCCTTCGAATGCAGGGTCACATCGCCTTTGTTACCAATGTTGTCAGTACAAATATGAACCACGGTGTCCGGCTGTTCATCTCCCTCTGAAGAATGCCCTGCACCTGCTCTGTGATATCCTTGAACCCAGCAGCAAAGAGGCAACCTACATCTGGAGACACATCTATTGTCACATAAATGCCTGTCTGTTCCCCTAACCAATGAAACCCCTATAATTGTTGCTCTCCTACTCATATTTCTTTCCTCTTGTACAGCTGCGCCATATGTGGTGCCAAAGCTTTGGTTCTTGATGCACACCTCTGAGAAACCATCAGCTTCAACAGAATCGGAATGTAAAACTAATTACTGAGCAGGAACTAAGGAGATTGCTGCATTTGGCTCTCTTCCACTGCCTGGCAGTCATCCATTCCCTATTTTCTTGCATGTTCCTACTTTGTAGTGTGAACATTTTTCTGAACATATCCCATCCACCTGGTCCTTTGGTTTGTGGATGCACTAGCAACTCCAGCCATCACTTCAGCTGCAAAACTTGTGCAGCTGGTGATATTTTCCATGTATGTACTACTTTAAGGGTCATGGACAAGTTGGGCCAAAGGGCCTGTTTCTATGCTGGAAACCTCTATGACTCTATCCAGGTCATGTGAAATGTCCATGACTCACAACATGCCACAGGAAGGGCATTCTATTTGGCTGAACTGTCCTGCCATTTCCTCATCTTAACTTTGCACTAATTATGATAAAATTATTTTTCTTGTGCTTGACTGTTTTTAAAAAAATGCATTTCTTAAAATGTCCAATCTTTGAAGCACAGTTCCTAACAGAAGCTGGTCATAAAGGAACACCCGCTCCCCTCCTTCACTGAACACCCTAATCAGCAAGCTGAATGTCTGGTAATAAATCTTACTTAAAGCATCTCTTTCCTCCATACTCTGGATTCCCACTTTGAATCCAAATCCCTTAATCTGTCTCACCACCCAAGGGCGTAAACAGTCTTTCCAGGTGAAGCAGCATTTCACCTGTACCTCCTCTAATCTTGTGTATTGTATTTGCTGCACCCAATAAGGCCTACTCTACATTGGAGAAACCAAACGCAGACTGGGTGACTGCTTTGCGGAATACCTCTGGTCTGTGCACAAGCATGACCCTGAACTTCCTGTAGCCAGTCATTTTAACATAGCATGCTGTTCACATGCCCACATGTCTGTCCTTAGCATGCTGCAGTGTTCCAGTGAATCACAGCTCAAACTGGAGGAACAACACCTCATCTTCAGACTAGGCACTTTACAGCCTTCTGGATTTAATATCAAGTTCAAAACCTTCAAATTACGAGCGATTTCTCACCTTTTAGCTCGTTATATTCTGTTGTCATGTCCTCTCTCCCGCTCCCCCATCCCAGTGAGACTGTCTGCCCTTTCAAGTCTGGCAGGAGACACACCACTGTTCTGCCATTCTCACATTCTAATCACTTAATCTGAACTATCAACATCTTTTCTCTGCCAGCACCCTACACCCACTACCTCCACATGCACCCCGCCCCCAAACTATAGCATAAACGCTGTCCCCTCCACACTTAACTTCAGCTCTAATGAAGAATCATTTAGACTTGAAACGTTAGCTTGCTGTCTCTCCATGGATGCTGTCCGACCAGCTGTGATCTCCAGTATTTGTTGTTTTCAGCACAGATTCCAACATCTACTGTAATTTGCTCTTTAATCTGTCTTGCCTGACTCAGGCTTAGTCCTTACTGCTACAAAAAATTACAATTCTTCATTTTTACTGATCCAGCCTTGAGACTCTCTGTGAAAGATCACTCCATCATAGACTGCTTCAACAATTGCTCCCATTCTGGTTTATCAATCGCCTTTCCCAGATCTATAGCCCCTCCACCCCAGAGTCCAGAAAGCATGCTCCTCATAGGTATAAATTCCCTCTTTACTGATGACTACCTGCACTGGGCCAGTCCTGTGCTTGAGATTTTTCCCATGCTTTCTTAGTTACATCAAGCAAATATTGCTTGTAAGTATTTCAACCCCATTCTTCCGAGCCCCTTACAGATTCCCAGACACAGATTCAACTGCCTTCCCATTTTATCAGCATCCAAGGACTTCCTTTGAGTCCTAACTCCAACATTTAGCTGCCTGCTAATTCCTAGAATTTCTGTTTAAGGTCCACCACATGTAGCCTTCCAACTGTTCTCGACTCCTCACCGATTCTCCTCTACAGAGTCTGTGTCATTTAGCTGTCTTTTCAGCATTTGTGCAAAATGCAGTACTCCTAACATGCAGTCTACTTTTCTCACTCCCTCTTGTATCCTCATTCCTTGCTTGAAATCTGTAAACTCCACTTTAGTGACACCTGATCTGTCCTGAGTGACTTATCAAAAACATTGCAGTAAGGCAGCACGGTGGTTCAGTAGTTAGAGCTGCTGCCTCACAGCGCCAGGGACCTGGGTTCAATTCCACCCTTGGGTGACTGTCTGTGTGGAGTTTTCACATTCTCCCTGTGTCTGTGTGGGTTTCCTTCATGTGCTCCGGTTTCCTCCCACAGTCCAAGGATGTGCAGGCTAGGCAAATTGGCTATGCTAAATTGCCTGTAGTGCTTAGGTGGGTTTTAAGGGGATGGGTCTGGGTGGTATGCTCCAAGGGTCAGTGTGGACTTGTTGGGCTGAAGGGCCTGTTTCCACACTGTAGGGATTCTATGAAAAAAAAAAGCCTCTCTTCTCTTGTTGACCAGAATTGACTTATGCTACCTTGGAATTGTTGCTCCAAAAAAAATTACCTTGTTCAGTACAGAAAATGTGGCTACAAAGGATTTCATCAATTTTTTGACAACAGGCCTTTAAGCAGGTCAATTACCTATTTACAGCTATCATGGAGATGGCCACGCTGCCTCCAACTCTGTCTCTGGGAAAATGGTCCATGGTGGGATGGAGCTGAGGAACCAAGCGCATTCAGATGTGCTATTTTTAACACACTTTCACCTTTGTGCCCTCCCTCACCCCAAAAAATATCACCTTAAAATTCTCCCCATCATGTATTACCTGCTTTGCCATGAATTCTAGCTAATTCAACATAACTTGTTAAGGAAAGTTCAGCAAATTCACTTTCTGTCCTACGAAAGAGCTCGAGCTTATTGTCCATAATATTACATACATTTAAAATCTTTCTATGTATTGAAAGAGGAAGCAAAAAGGAGACTTCTTCTTTCTGTCACTGTTCAACATTATATCTTTAGAATTTTTTTGACAGTCAAAACAAATCTGGTTTTGTTAAACTACACAGAGCCACAAAAGAACTCATCTGAGTACTATAGACTGTGGTAAGTACCTATTTTGATGTAATTTCTGCAGTGGATGTAGCATAGCACCGACTAGTTGTTGCACATTCTGGTTCTTTAAAGGAGCTATTTATATTAAATAATAACACTGAAAGGCTGTTATTACACATGCATACTGCTATTTGGGGAAGCACTGACACCTGTGAGCACATATTGGAAAATTGCAGGTGCATTTTCCACAATTGTCTGTCCCTTAAGAGGCATGTAAAGAAAATTGTAAGTAGCTACTTGTGTTTTAAGTATATGATAATGGTCCAGCAACTCCATGCCTTATCACTGAAGAGATAAATCAACTCCTATATCATTAATTAAAAACAATAACTAGAAAGAAGTAGATTTTTCTGCTTTTAGAAGATGATGCTGACAAATATATTCCATTGGTAATGTTCAGACACACAGTTCTGATGAGTTACTGGACTTGAAATGTTAACTCTGTTTTTCTCTCCACTAATGCTGCCAGATCGGCTGAGTTTCTCCAACACTTTCTGTTTTTGACCCAGATCTATGGTTTGCTATCCAGATCTCATTAAATATCCTTTGACAACAATATTGTATGGTCACTGACACATTAATGAAATTTTCTTTGGCACACAAAGTTCCTGAAGTTAGAGTCATCGAGTTACACAACACAGAGTAACCGAAGCCAGCTTGATCGAAGCACAGCTGACAGTCTGATATTTAGATCTAGAATAATTTGTGGTGTACCAAGTTCTGCAGGGCTGATAATGATGTCCTCATGTTGTGCCAGTGTACTATCGTTCTTTTCATACTGTGAGCTGACTTCACCTTTTCCTATAAAAACAACAATGGTCCTGGAATATATTATGTACCAGAGTCATCTTAAACAAGAGGTGGGAATATGGTGCCAGCATCTCCTAAAGATATTGCTTGTTGTTCTGTATTGAAGAGGGTTGCTAGCCAGTAAATTAAAGTGTGCCAAGTAAATTCACATCTCAATGTCCAATAATATGCACAGCATGAACTCAATATGTATAAATCCCATGGACACATAGTATCCAACCTCTCTTACATTTAATGCACAGAGTCTTGAGAGTTTATTGTTACTATTGTCTTCAATTAAGCAGAAACATTTAGAAGATATTAGTGCAAATGTATGGATGCAAACATAAATATCCTCGTTTTCAAATCTCAAAGAAGACTAAGATATAATTTAAAGGTAATATATCACCTTAAATCCTTTAAAGATCCTCTTCCCTAAATTTACTGTGATAATCACAATGCTGCAGACTTTGAAGTCTCAAATATGCGTCAAATGCACTGCAGGAACCTGAAACATCTTAACTGGTGGTGCACACCACTCCAGTGACATTTAATCCACTATTTTTGGGAGTTTTACATTGCTGTGCAAATAATTTGTGTATTTTGATGAACTGATATAGATGGGACCTGATGTTACTGCTTCTCATTTTGAAAAGGGTTATGTGCTTGACAAGGGGAATGTTTTGTGTATGTTTTCTGTAGCCTTTACTTGAAAGATATTTGCACTGTTACTTGCTGGAAATGCAAGCTGATAATTGCTGGGCAAATGGAGTTTCTCCTTAACGATGTGATCCAGAGTACAGGGGGATGCTGAATCAGGAAGGTGAATTAACTCATTGTAAAGAGAAATAGGAAGGAAAGAGAGAGTGGATTAAGAGGCTAAGAGTGAGATGCTGTCTGTACAAAGCATAGAGTGGAGCAAAATAAATTGACCACCAGATTTGAAATTTACAGCGTATCTTTAAAGTCTGAATTTGCTAGCTGATTTGTGCCTTAATAACAGTCTGCACCGTACATAGGGCATTTTTTCAGCAAGATTTGGCACAACACCTTTAGCAAGATTCCCAACAATATAATTTAATGTTTATTCTGTCTTTTGATAGGAGAATTGTGATTGCACTTTGCTAATGGCCTTATACATTGGAATATGTTTAGCTGTTGTTTATGGTCTCACAGCCATAACTGAAGCACAAGCTGATATGAAAGACAGGTAGGTTTGGTATATTGTAATCTGCTGCAGCTGCTACAATAAACCTAGTATCTAAAATTATTACTGCATTTTCTGTTCCTGTTTCTGATTTCTATTATGGTACAATGATTAATACAGTTCATTCCACTGTTATTATAGGCTTTCCCTATATGCTATAATTGTGCCTGTGGTTTCTTTGAATTTCACTGAGAGATCTTTTTCAGCATGCAAACAAGGACATGCCAAGTATCCAAAGGATTAGACATTTAGCATATCCACCGCATAAAATCAACAGTCTAGATTCTGCAGGAAGTGGAGAAGTGATAGTATTTGCCACGTGTGACCTTGAAGAAAGCTACTCACAAAAAGCTATGTGCTGTGTGGTGTGGATTTTACCTTTCCCAATGTTAAGTCAGTGCATGCCCTTTTGTGGGCGCCAGAATTATCAGTGATATCATCAAGCAGACTAAGTGGCCAAAGACATTGAAGAATTTTCACAAACAGCAAACCAAGTAAAGTCCATCCTTATAAAGGCAAAATGCTGTGGATGCTGAGAATCTGAAACAAACACAGAGAATGCAAGAGAAACTCAGGAGGTCTGGCAGCATCAGTGACAGAGGAACAGTTTTTTTTTCAGTCTAGCAGGACTTTTCTTCTGCTAAAGAGTTATACCAGACTCGAAATGTTAACTGATTCTCTCTCTACAGACACTACCAAACTTGCTGAGTTTCTCCATCATTCTATGTCTACTAAAGGCCATCTTCACTTTTTGATTATTTTGTGGAGAGTGAAAAAAAATACTGTCCAATGAAGGGAACAGCCTCTCAGCATCTACCACCAACCTTTCTGTGAATTTTATTTTCTCTTATTCATCTAAATTCTGGAAAATGTAGGCACACTTGACTCAAACTGATTAGAAGACAGGAAGGCAAAAGGTCAATGGTCTGACTGACAACTATTGAGTTGTCCTTGAGCAAATGGAATTGACAACCATGGCAATTTGTCTATCTGTGAGTCTTTTACTGGGCTAATATACCATTTACCATGTAGTTTTTTAAAAATTTATTTATGTTAAATTTCTTCTCTCCCCTTGAGAAGACACTGACCCTATGCAGTCTACTCCACTTCAAACATGAACTTTGTTGGTGAATATGAAGTAAAATATATGCAGGAATACATCATGCGGCCCCTCAAGGCTGTCTCACTGAATAAGATCATAGCTTAACTCTATTTTCCTGCTTACCCCAGCATGCATTAAGTATATAAACATAAGAAATAGGAGCAGTGATCTGGTGGATTATTTAAAATACTGTACTACAACTAGCTTGATTCTACTTTCACTGAGCAAACATGTATGTTCACATTCCAATGCAAACCCATTGAGAGACCTACCCTTGCTCGTGTTTTTTCTTAATCATTCCTGTTTATGGGGCTCTAAAAACAATTATATCACCTAAACTGTTAAGTTTGGTTAACTAAGACTGCACTGATGATTGCAGCAGAAGCCTTTCTGGTTTGTATGGGTTAATACCAAATGGACAATGTCTTTATCATCTAGACCACTGGGAGGTTAACCCAAAACATTATCAGCAACCAACACACCAAAAGTAAAAGTCCTGGAATTCTCTGTGAGTTTTCCTGATTTCCTGTTGTAATGGGTGACAGAGGGTGTTGTGAGTGGCATTCAAGGGATAGAACAGTGGAAACTGTATTAAACTATATTAATGGTACTTAAGCGCTTTCCTGGGTGTTTCACCTGGCAGCAACCATTGTTATAATGGAAGACAATGGGAAAATACAGGGCTATATTTTCTGTCTTTAAAATACTTCAACTATATTGGTCCTTATTTTGTGATTTTTGTTTTAAAGTTGCCAATGGAAGTGTCTGGTGTTTGCTCAACTGTGGCCAGGATCATTCTGTATGGTAAGAAATTTGTAATTAACTGTTGCATTCATTCATGGAATATGGGCATTGCTGGTTAGGATGGCATTTATTATCCATCCTTAATTGCACTTGAGAAGATGGCAGTGAACAGCCTTTTCTTGAATTGTTGCTAACCAGGGGCACCCCTAGTGTTCTTAGGAAGGGAATTCCAGGATTTTGACCAAGCAATAGTGAAGGATAAACAACATAGCTCTAAATAAGAATGGTGTATGGTTTGGAGGGATATTATAAATGGTGGCGTAGAGGTCATGGATTTTGAAGCAGTCTTGGTGAGTTGCCACAGTAGACCTTTTGATGGTACAGATTGCTGCCACTGTGCATCAGTGTGGAGGGAGTGAATTTTGTAAGATGGTGGATGGGGGCATTTTGTCCTTAATGGTAATAAGCTCATAAGACATAGGAGTGGAGGTAGGCCATTCCGCCCCTGAGTCTGCTTCAACATTCAGTTAGATCATAACTGATCTGATAATCCTCAACTCCACTTTCCTGCCTTTTCCCTAGAACCCTTTATTCCCTTACTGATTAAAAATCTCTCTCAGCCTTGAATATACATAAACACCAGCCTATGGTAAAGAATTCCAGATTCACTCCGACAGAAGATATTCCTCTTCATTTGAGTCTTAAATCTGCTGGTTGTAGACTCTCTTATAAGGGGAAACATCCATCTGTCAAATCCCCAAGAAACTCCTATGTTTCAATAAGGTAGGCTCTCATTCTTCTACATTCCAATGAATGTAGGGGGAGGTGTGGCATTGTTAGTCAAGGACAGTATTACGGTGGCAGAAAGGACGTTTGATGACAACTCGTCTACTGAGGTAGTATGGGCTGAGGTTAGAACC